CATTCTCTGCGCCACCTCAGATCAACAACCCTCTTTTTGTCACTCCAGTAAAATAGAGTAATGATAAGGCGTCGTGGTCATGGTTTCGCGCCCTCTAGCTTATCACGAGTGGCTCGTGATAAAATCACGACTCTTCCGTGTCGCTCCACGGCCGTGCTTCTCCCAGGTAATGTCTTTCGGGCTACGACACCCAAAGGTTCAAGACACCGAGGTAGAAGCACAAGAATGGAGAACATTGCGTTTTTGAAGTCATTGGTAACTAACGGATAGCATGAGAGAGACAGCTTGCGCGACCACAATGTACTGTCTCGTTTCCTGGGGGACGGCGCGGTGCAGACAAACATCACATCAGCGATGATCTGAAGGGGCGAACCACGCAGTTGACACTCGTCCCTGTCCAAGCGTGTCTGGTATGGAAGGCTGAATGGCGCCGCGCCTCGGGGGGAGGAGGGGGGACTGGGCAACACCGGTCGGAGTCAGCCGGCCGACTCCGTCCTGACAGGTGAAATGTCACCTGTCACAGACAGCCGGATCACATCCACCCCTTCCCACACCTTTGACCCCCCCCCCCCCCCCAACACCTACACCCACACACCATTGGCTTCACTATATGTCCCGGACTTAACGCACCAGTGAGAAGCAACAGCAGTTTTTGTTGTTACAGCATTTGCAAGAGAACGCAGCGATGTACTCCCGCAAACTCATCCAAAAACCGACTGGCATTTGCGAGCGTCGGGTCCCTGCCGCCGCCTCAGCGGCCGACCCTTGACCCCCGGCGAATCGGGAGACCCGCAGTCACGTGACGTCCCCCGGCATCCAGTCAGATGAAGAGCTCGGAAGACAGCGAGGGCGGGGTCGCACAACCCGCACAGAGCAGCTTAGAAGCCTGAATTTATGCAACGAAGCGGTGATCTGGTATTTCTCATACAGACGATGTGGTTTTAACAGCTTGATAAGACAAGGGGGCTCATGCCCTCAGTGCTCTTCCCCACGATGTTGGCGGTGCCTCAAAGCTAATCCAGGCTGGGTCAGGGGACGCGGCAACAAAAGATGCCAGGAACAAGAATCCAATGACAAAAGGCTGTTGATCACTCCTGACAAATGTGACAATGCGTAGTAGCACCAGTAAATCCTTATTTGGAAAAATGCAAATGGGCCACCACCGACTACGGAGATCTCAGGTTAGGACATCGCTGCTTCCATAGAGGCCCGGAGGACCTCAGCAGCCCCCGCCATGCACGGAGAATCACAAGATAGGTAAAGAAGGTGAGCCAAGCAGCAGACAAAAGGTGGGACACAGCTGGCGTTGTACGCTGATACTGCCTGAAGCCCAAATCAGAACCGATGTGCCAGTGATGGAAACAAGGAAGAACTGTTACGACGAGCTTATAATGAACCGTGAGCGCTAAGGCCGGTTTTTCGGTGATGTCTGCGGTAAGTGATTTGTTGTGCGTCACCATGCACTGCAGGTGCACCTTTTCAGGACGAGCGTATCGACAATATTCGCGATCGGTGTTGGCGAGGGTTAAGATTATAATGGAGTTGGCAATATCTATGTGCGTGATGCTCTTCGATGGTCGGCAATGAAATACACACAGCAGTCAGGCGTCGTTTGTAATCCCCCGGCGCCGACTGCTGAAAAATGACTTAGATTCACATCACGCACCGTTATCTTGCTCTGCCCAGAGCTTTTGTCAGTTCAGATTTTAAGGCTTGGCGGCTGTTTTTGTGCTTGAAAATTACCCATGCGCCCAATCTAAAGTATTTAAATGGCACTTTTGGTCGCGACTTCTGGTTTATAAACATGGATGCAAGCGCGTTTTGGTCCCGGATACCTTGGTTTTATATTTTCGTCTTACCCTACTGCGTACACGACGTTCACGCCTATCATTCTATGTTCGCCGTGTTCTCTGTACGAACGAGGCAGCGAACGAACAGAACGAACGAGGCAGCATGTGAGAAACGGTGCCTGGTGTTCTAGAGAACACCAGGCACCGTTTCTCACATGCTGCCTCGTGGCTGGGCAAGAGCCATTAAAGAAGGCCATTTGTCGTGATGTCAATTTTATTGGCTTGGGCCCGACACATCTCGAGTACCTCGGGTGAAACGTCAGTGACGTCAGCGTTTTTTTTTCGTCAGCGTTTTTCGCCCTGAGCGGGGCGCTGTTCCTCACCCCCTGAGCTGCCGCACTGTTCAGTGTGCATCATTGAGCATTCCAGGGGCTATTAAATGAAAATTTGTATTTGATTAGTTTTCAATCCTTTCAATCCGTCTAAGCTAACCGATCTAAAAATCTGGTCCATTCCTCATCGATGTGTTGGTAGTAATTTCTGATCTGATCCAATCTGCTGGGGTGGTAAAACCTGCCGACTGGGTGGATAAGATCGGAAACCAAAATGCATATATTCACGTGAAGCTTGGTGCCAAAAATGTTTTTGGACGGCATATTTCGTAAGTTGTTGGGTGCATTAGTGAAGAACATTATTCACATAGATATGACAGTGGCATTTGCCTTATTCTTCAGAGAAAAACCAGGAGAATAAAGATATAGTTGGGTTGATATTTCGGCAGCATGCCTTTGTCGAGACAATAGCAGAAATGAATTCAAAATTGCCTCCCAAAAATTCTACTAGATTTTTCGGTTTTTTTCCAAACAAGCCACAGTTTTTACAGTACACCAACATTCACGGGATTAAACAAAGAGCGTCTGCCACCCATTACCACGAAACAGTGCCTATCTAAGTATCAGAATGCGCAAACGAACGTGTACATGCAAACGAATTCAAACAATTAGGCATCACGCATCACGCTTCATCCAGGCATGCAAGCGAGTTAAAGTAAACATACATCACACATCGCGCATCAATTATACACGCAAACGATTTCAATTAAACAGACATCGCACATCAAGTGTCAGGAAGCGACTCTATTCTTATAAAAAGTCGGCGGCCAAATCTCAACACAAAGGGCTCATCATGGCCGATATCCGAGCGTGATATGTGCCTTTAGGTGTCCGTTTACGCGCGTGAGTGATGCCTGACGCGTGGTGTGCGATAACTGTAGTAGAAATCAATGTAGTGGTGGTTGACAGGAGTGCCAACTTTTATGCATCATTGGTGGGAGATAGCAATCCATGGATCATGGTCAATAGGTTAAGTCCAGGAAGCTAGTTTTGTGTCATAGACAGCTTTTTCAAATCCCTTTGTAATTTTTCAGCCAAAAATGTTGGTTTCGCGGTAGGAATCAGCATTGAGGGGGCCCAGCCCAGCATAAATATTGGGTAGCGCCACAGAAATTGTTTGAATTAATACTCCTACATTATGCATAACAAACAACACAGATATCTTTACATTTGCATGCTACTTGCATATAAAGGGCAATTTTGGCTTCCTGATTGAATTTCTACCAATGATTGCATGCTGGTAATGAAATATACCATTCTGCTGTAACAGTTGATGTTTTCGTAATCTGAGATGCTGATTTTAACGCCAGGATATATAAAATAAATAAAATAGGATGGCAACCAACAACTTTAACCTTTTACTGAACTGTGAACTGTCTTTAGCGATATCTTTAATTTATGTGACAGTGCCAACGCTCCGCGCGCGGTCCGCAGACCGTCGCTTTCTACCCGCCGGCCTTGAATCGCCTTGTAATGGTCGTCAAAACATCGCTTCTCTAAAACCAGAATTTCCAGGGGCACTTTTTGGGTGTCAACTTATGTACAATGGATGCCCCAGAGGCAAGCAAATATTTGAGTAAGACTGCACGATATGCCGCATTGGTGTCCTCAGAAAACCGTAGTGGGGCTCGCATCGCCCACCCTCACCCCTCCTGCCAGGGCTAGTAACTTGTTGGGAGCGAGCTAGCCGCCTGATGTAAAGTTATTGTCAAAGTTCCATACAATTTACTTCTTGGAGCACTGCGAAAGGCGCCTACCAGTCAAAGTATGTCGCACCAGGCTTGAAGCATGCCTAAGGTATGGTGGATAATTTGATGACGGTTGAGATAGGGCTGCAGGTGCAAACGTGATTTTCATAAGCAGGCATGGCCTCGTGAATGCTCTCATTTCTGACGTCATTCCTAGTGACGCTTGCTACTGATTCGGGATCTACTATGCAATCTGCGACCCTGGCAATCGAGGTCCTCCGTTGTTCTTTTTCGTGGTCGAGAAAAGTAAATCCAGCCGTAGATCGAGTTTAAACGTGAGGCCGCGGCAAATCCCGAGGGTGGAAAAAACCTCATGTTGTGATTGGGCTATCTGATTAGTCTAGGGCAGGTGTGCCTGCTTTCCTAGCAGCGCCACTTATCCTGACATTTGTTCAAGGGCAGTGTATGACTGAACGTTTCGATTATGTCCACGACATTGAAAGCGGCAGTGATGAAAGATGCTTTTGGTGATAGCCTGATTACTGGTCACGGTACTGAGCATGGACTAAATGACCAATTTGTCATATGATATCGTATTACGCTACTGGCGACAATGTTTGCTCCAAAAATTTGGTCGGCGACAAAAAGTACACTTACCACCCCTGCCAGCCCGGCCCGCATAATGATTCACATTCCGTGGATTTATCCAACCCGTGAATTGCTCTGATGCCACATTCTCGCATTTGCGGGACATATCTTGCCTACTGACAACTGGCTGGCTGGCAAAAGCCGGTGGCAGCATGAAGTTCGGTAGCCATGAATCCAGCTGCGTGCGATGCGGCTCTTAACACTCATTGCCAAAACTTCCACCACCAAAAGCTATGGAAACTCCGTGCAGTTTTCGCATGCATCCCATGACCGTTTAGAACTGTGGGGAACCTCTCCTTTAAGGATTCTAAAACGCCGTTGGACGCTTTCCGGCATACAGAACCCTTACCATTTCTGCATCAAGTCGGATTAAAAACTGTTATTTTCTGCCATATACACGTGCTCTTGCATACTTTCGGTGATGGTCTCTGTTTCATGGTTCAAAGCCGAACTAATGTGTGACAGAATGTGACAAACAGATAATGTTTTCGAAATATGATATATTGCTAAGAACACTGATTACCACGCCAGTGCAGGTTGCTTTGATCACAGTTCCCCACACAACCTCATGGAAATCCAAGAAGTCAAAACAGACAGATAGTTTTCCACTTGGTTATCCAGCCCGTACGCCTTTAGGCTTCGCTGTCGCACCCAACCATATCCAGAGTTGTCCTTTCATGAACTGCGCTAAAGGCATGTATAATGCGATTCACATGATTCGGATGCGTGTCATATGTCTCGTCTCAGAACAGTGCGCAGAATCTTAGTCATACACTGGTGGTGAACCCATATACGCAGAGAACAAGTTGATCTTGTGTTTTTTGTTCCAGACAATGGCAAAGAATGGACGATCAGCTTTGAACTGAATGGGTGGAGGCTGCACGCTCGCGGACGTGAGCACGAAAATGACGGCTCCTGCCCCGGCAGCCTCAGTACCTTTCTCTGTCACCTCCATAAACACCTTGTGGATGATATTGCTGACGGCCAGTGGCTCATCGGCAATGTTCCCAAAGTCTGCCTGAGGCGTGAATATTTTACGAATGCCCAACTGGGACATAGATCGCGTCAGTTGGTAATTTGTGTTTATCTTGAACCGAGGCATGCTTATCTGAACGGGCCTACGCGACATCTGCTTCATGATTTCGGCGACGTCGAGGATGTCCAGGGAGTCCTTCAGACGGGAAACGGCAGCCATGTTACGTGTCAGTGGACGCAAGATCAGCATAACATAGTTTTTGTCCGTGTACGGCAGGGAAATGGCATCAAAATGAGGCATCTTTACATACGGCACTCTTGTTCTAAGCTTCATCATGTCGACCTGCTTGTTTCCTGATGCCGTGAGAAACGGTCCTTTCACGGTCATGTCGAACGGAGTCAGCCACAAGCCCTTGAAGTACAAGGCACTGACTAGGACCATGACAGCGTCTTGCAGAGCACTTGGTGAGACAAGTTTCTTGATGCGGTCTCGTGTTACCGTAGCAACATCGGAGTTTATTTCCTTCGCCGCCTGCGCCGCCGATGAAAACTTCTTCACGCCCGCGAAGTAGTGATTTTGCAACAGATCCTTAAATTGCCGACTTGACGCTGAAGCCATGTTTGATGTATATCCGATTAAAGACACCGGTAGTGATGCTACTGGAACCGTCGCTGAGGTCTCTGATGGCACTTTGGTAACTTGTTAAAAAGCTGCATCCAGTTGTTGTCTTTATGTCTAGGACCGTCGTCATCTGGGGACAAGAGAACCACACAAAATGTAATTATAGGATTAAAAGGTGTGGGTGTTACTCATCAGAACGCGTTGGTCAAGTCGGATGTTTGATATTTTCATCCCCAAAAATGCATTACGAAAACATGCCATTGTTCAAGATGGTTCAATTTATTCGCGGACTTACATCTTATTTTGTTGCTCGAAAACGGAAACAAACAAATTTCAAATAAATGAAGTATACAATAGATTACACATGGGTAGTTTAACTTACACTAACCGATTTGCGTCCGTGGGTGTGAAACGCTGTCTGGCAGGTAAAGCAGCGGTCACACAAATTGTCCTTGTTAACACATCGCCGTTGAAGGCTCTCGTTCATTGTCACTGCCCATCTTTCTCAACACGCTCCAAGCATTTTTGTGTACTGGAAAGTGTGTGTCAGTACGTCAATTCGTATACGATCTATGTCAGTAGTACGGTGTATAGATCTCATTACCGCGCACGTACCTCGTTTCTGGTGCTGCCTCTGGCTCCCAGCCAGACCTGTGTCATCAACGTGGACATGACGAACGGGGCGATGGCCTGGTTCTTGCTCAGATCTTTCGTTAATACCTTCAGCAGCTTTAGGTCCAGGCCATTTGGAACACAGGCTCCAGTTAATGTAGCCACCATCAGCAAAATACATCCGGTACCTGCCAACAGGATGATGGTTTTATTGAGAAACAAACCTCTATTCAACATGTCTTAGCATGTGGTGTTATTCTGTACGCAGCATGTCCTTGATAGCAATTAAAGCATCGGCAACAGAATCTCAACCGAAATTATATCGATTAAAAAAACACCGCCAATATCATGCTGGCATTGGCATCATCGAGACCCAATCTATACGAGAGCTAACGAGCTAACGATCGCATCCAATGCCAATCATTAATAATGTAAAAATAAATACGGACTTTTTGTTTACCTCGGTTCTTATGATGACCACAGTCCTCAATGTGCACGCATGTTGGCATGTCTCATGCAAACAGAATTTACCATCAAAAGCCCAAAGGTAGTAAGTACTTCAGGGTAGCCATGCTGCTGACTTCACAACGAAACTTTTGCATAGAAAGATGAACATGGATGACCTCACACATAAGACTACGCCATGGAAACAATTTCCAGGACATTGTTGATGATTAGCAGGCACCACAGTGATGCATCCAGATTTTATCCTCTCAGAACTTAAATAAGTATTTATACCAAATTGTATGTTTGAGAGTCATTAAACCGTGAGAGTCCACTCTTCAAGGTACCTAATGTCTTAACTTATCTGTTAGTGAAATGACATGCATTTTATAGCTGTCAAAACGCTGACAAATGTATCTTCCTAAACCATTTTTTGCGAAAAAGTACCTGCTTTTCTATTGGAATTCATTCACAATTGTTAGTTAGACCTAAGGATTGAGTGAAGAAACACAAGTGCGATCAGATCAAGATGTACAATGCTCGCCAGTACCGCGATGTTATCGGCAATGCCCGCTAAAAGCAGCTCGCGAGCTCTTTAAGCCCACACCCTACGGGCCTGCGGGCTCAAAATTCGCGCCTCTAGTTTGGACGTACATACCTTGCTTTGAATGAAACATGACTCCAAAGCGATGGCTTGTGGATAAAGATTGACGTAGAGACGTGGATTTGTGATCGCTAAATACCCAGCTTCTCTTCAACACGACCGGATTAACAAGCGTCAAACAGCACGAGCGCACTCCATGGAGCTCGGGTCAAGCAGAGGATCTGCTGCCGTCTGGAGTCCAACTGTCAGCGGTTTGAGCGGTCGCAGCGTATGAGCGAGTGTCGATCACCAGATGGTGGCGTCATGCGACCTTTAAACGACATGTGTGATTGATGGAAATGTCTGTGTCCGCCATCGGACTGGCACTCACCAACGTGTGACCCATAGCAGGCAAAATATGACGACCCCTGAATGAGGACAAAGAAGCTAAAAGGCTTTCACGTGATCGACGCTGGGTGTTTGCACATTTTGTAACGCAGTAAAGCGCAAGGGTTTCCGAACCGGATGGAGAAATCTAGGTCTTTCCCAAGCGCTTTTTGTCTTCGCTCCGTCTCCAACTGGATTGCCGACTTGGATGACGTTAGCATTGAAGACTGTATGGTCAACGTTTACTTCTCAGACTGCGATTTACACTTTTGAAGTCATGTGAGATCATATTGCACACAAATGTTCAGAACAGGCTTCACCGCCCATCCGGCATTGATAAGAGCGTATAATCCACACATTATCAAGCCAACGTATGATGTATCATATTAGGTGAAATCAGGGGAATGCCGTGTATGGGGTTTGTCATAGGTCGACTTTTCACCCGCTCTCTTAGGGCGGTGATGTTCCTGATGCCGAGACTTCACCGCAGCGCGGCCACTAGCCGTGGGGCGTTAATCTGCATGGCAGTCGGAACATCGGAAACATTCGTACAGATGATGAACAAAATGTTGACGGGGTGTGCACATGTCCATCAAGCCGATTCGTATGATTTGATGTGGCGTATGATAATGTGCTTGGCAAGCCTATACCACCAGCCTTAAAGTGCAACAGCATAAAAAGTGACATACGTACACAAGAGAATTAGACGAGATAGGACTGCTAGAATATTGAGCCCCGTTCATATCGATACTGAATAAACTGTCTTCGGCACCAGCATATGGCCAGAGAACCAATCGCGTAAAACTTAACGTCGATTATTATTATATGCCTAGCAATATTATGCAGCCACCCATTACAGTTAAATCGGCGTCGAAATTTAACATGTGTTTGCGCAAATTTCACCTTAGATGGGCGACTGAGACATCGCACTGCCTTCGTACCGATAATTAACAAACTGCTGAGGATAAGAGAGCATAACCAAACATCCGAATGCGTGCAGTTAATTGGCAGTATCATGACGTGCTAAATGCAAGTTCATATGCCAAGCCGTTATAACGCAATCTGTGTGAGAAGCTAATACGTTCCTACGAACACTATTGGAGATAGGCAGCCTGACCATGGGGCTACTTTCCTACTAGCAGCGTTACAAGTAGGCTCATTACTGGTATGTATACATACCCAAGCATCGACCGGGTAAAATTAAATGGCAAGCATGATCATGCGCTTTGCGAGGGTAAATTCCGCAAGTCATCACAATTCACTCAGCGTGGGGAGTGAATAGTCTACTAAAGGCACAGGTACAAGAAATGAACGTGCCCCCCCCCCCGCCCAACATCCTCTAAAAAGTACCTAAAAATTGCTACGGTCCCCCAACGTAGGAGATCCCTCGTTGTTCTTACACCTGTGCGGAACTTGGCAAACAGCCTACGGTTATTGTGATCGTAAATTTATTGTGTTTTTTGGTCCGAGCTCAATTGGCAGTGTTATGGGGAGCTGTATTTAACCAGCGAAGGTCACCTTTTGTTACGAGGCCCACGTGCTACCACGGAGGCCTAAACGAGTGGTGACCGACTCCAAAATACAGTCAACCATTAACCAGGTTCACACCGGCGCGCGCACTGCCCATGATGCTTTGTACACATAACAATCTATGGGCCACATCATCGCGGCTTTTGAAACTATGCCTAGGGTTGGGGTAGATGTAATTATTGGAGCTTGCTGCCTTTCGTGTAAAACGCACAGAGATTCAGCAGCCTATCGCTGACGTTGTTCGGGTTTAAAAGAACGGCACCACAGATACATTTCGTGCTCTGCATTCCGGTTTGGCTGTGTCAGGTATCAAGTCAGTACGGGATTGGCCATTCTTGGGTTTAGGTATTGTTCTCTACGTCTGCGCGCGGACCTCCTGCCATCTAGCGGGAGATTCATTATGATAAGCAGCGGGGCGCACATGGACATCCGTCATGAATGTTCCACCGCGTCTCAATCATTAAGATATTTATATTAAACCGCGATGCGGTTGCCTGCCGCATTGAAAACCTAGCATGTGCGCGCGAGCAGGAGCGGATAAAGCTGTAATTTAGGGGGAAATGGATGGAAAACGATCATCCATGAAAATAAGGGTTGGAGAGCTGTGGAAGTGACTGATGGTATTTCGATTGGCGGTAAGCCGGGGTTCAGGTACGTACGCGTAGCGACTGATCACAATGCAATATGCATACCTGGGGCACGGAATTTGACTGTTGGCTGTGGTCAGGGGGATAGAGGAGGAGGGAGGAGGGGGGGGGGGGGAATCTTGTGTTATGGCTACGGAGGAACCTAACGGCAGGCCAGCCCAGGGTGGTGAGAGAAGACGCAGTTTCGCGAACCAGCACGCGTTTCTATTTTGACCACATCTGGCTTGTATTCTACCTAAAACCCACCTCCCCCGAACCATCTGAGAACCCGAAGCGTGAGGCAACAAGGGTGGCACTCTCCTGCCGCTAAGCCTCCTCCGCCCCAGTGCCCGCCCCTTTGACGCCACGCGATACCAGATTTATGATGCACGATGTGTACACAGATGTGTGCTACACGATACCCACCACGAGACAACACAAAGCAATCATTCCATCCAAAGAATTTTCATTGTCGGCATTGACGATCATCAAGACTCGAAACCAGCCGCGGATCGCCAGTTCGCGTCGTCATTATCAGTATATTTACAAAACGCTTCAGGAACGTGGATAAATGCCAGATTTTAGCCATTTACAATGATAAAACCGTAAAACACAGCCAGGCAACGATGAAATGGACACAAAAAGGGCTTAAGTTCGATCAGTCAGGGGAAGTTATGGAGTGGAATCACGTGGTGTTGGCATCTAGCTGCTGTGCGGAGCCACTTCGGGTTTGGGCGGCGGTGATAGCTGGCTACAAGAAAGCTTTTGGGACTGGAGTTTAACCTAGCTTTCTGGTACAAAACGCTACGTGAAGCTGATTTCCGGTTCTGCCTGTTGGCACCCTTCCCACACAGTGCAATGGCCTTCTCACACAGCACGTTAAACTGCATACATAGGAAGATCTGCAGCATGAGCGTCAGCCTGTTCCCATTGCAGGAGAGGTCCACAACTGCTCCGCACTGTTGTGTTCTCCACAAATGTAAGCAGAAGGAAGAAGATTTGTCGCGTATGGAAGTAGGCACGCATTCCACGATGCCTATATTGTTGTGACAAGGCACAAGTGACCACCATCAAATCCATATTTCATTCAAATTAGATGCGCCTGCAGATATGTGTGGTGCATAGTTGCGTTGTAAACGGCACCAGGATTAAAAAAACTTGTGTCTTACAAAGAGTGTCCATTAGCATTTGTGGCATCTGGTCTATCTGCAGTGTACAGGCAGTGAATGGAGCAGGAACCTGGTCATAAATGAGCTTAGCCCGCTTTAACCATCCCGCTAAGAACTCAAGTCAAAGTTAAGTAAAGTGCATCACCCTGAGTACAGTTCTGGCTGACAGGAGGCATCCGTCTATGCACTTACGCAAGTTACTGACTCAAATACCAAGTAGCGGCGAATGCTGCGCACTCTATATTCTATTCATTTAGAGAAAATAAACCTGCAACGCAAGACTTTGTCAAAACGTATGTGTAATAATTGCTACCACAGCTTGAAACACTATCTAGACAAAGATATATGCGAACATCAGGCAGCTACCCTTCGAATTCAGCGAAGCGCCATACTTTGGGCTTGGTTTCTTTCCTATGGCACTCACCATTGGCTCTTTTCGAGGCGATTTTTGACGTTTGAAATGGGAGTATCCCATAATCCATGCAACGCACTGACTAAAACATCAACCAAAGTGCATCTCGGTAACAGACCCTTGCACTTTGAACCAACCATAGACGTGTGTTTCATTCGCACCAATAATGGTGTGCACGCTGGTTACCATGGTGACGGTGGTTGCGATTGCAGGACAGAAGCATTGGCATCGTAATTTGGACTTCCAACTGAGTAAAACTGGTATCCTTATCATGTCTTGACGGCGCTGCAGTAGAACTACCAGGTACTATTACAAGACGTAACTGTTCATGAGGTTTCACTAGATAGTTTTTTTTTCTTTCTTTTTGAAAATGTGTCCCATGGGTGTGGCATTTCCTTAAACATAGTAACGCGCATAAACGTCTCAAAAACGCAACACACGTGGCTCGACACTTGCGATGGCGATGCGGACAGATGGGGACGGAGCGCTGGCGACCCCGCGAACAGATACGGACCGGGCACGGCAGGTCCCACAGGCAGGTGCGGACTGAGCACGCCGGAATGCAGAGCAAGCATGGACCGAGCACGAGTTCCACCACAAATAGGTACAAACCGTGCGCGTCGAAGGTGGATAGGCATGGGTCGAGCACCGCTGTATGGGGATACCACGTACGTTTCGAGCACAGCAGCTACGTGGACAGGAACGGAACGAGCACGGCCGGCCTCGCAGGCAGGCACAGACCGAACACAGCAGTCTGTGCTACAGCAGACAACAGACTGACCACGTTCGCCACACACTGGCACCACCAGTGGCGGCAGAATCACGGGGCATGAGACCTTAACAAATCACAGTACGCTGTAATGGCTTGTCGCTTAACACGCGCCCGGGTGGCCGTCTGGATACCCTCGGTCGAATGGGGGGTCAATTTGACCCCTGCGATCTCGGGAACTAAGAGAGCTAGAGATATTACATCTACAGGGCGTGTTGGCCTGTACGTGAACTCACTTAGGTCAAAGTTCGAGGTTCCCAGGTCATAACCTTTGGGTTAAGTAGGGTCAAACATGGTCAAATTCCAGGTTGGTTTTCAAAGTGCCCTCAGAACCTACATAACTGTTTCTAACCAAAAGGTTGTAAT